GCACTTGATGACAAAGCTTCTGTGAAAGTTTGGTCAAAATCCGTTGAGAAATGTAGGAAAAGTTGCGCACTGTAGAAATTGTTCACTATATATTCTGTATAAGGAAAAAATATACAAAGGGCCATAAAGACTCACTGGACAACTGCCTCCCCTGCAGAAATGGTCACAGTCAAATCATGTTCAAACCATATTTTTTAAAATGGCTGAACAAGTCAAAAAGAACATGTTCTACCTATGTTTTGGGAATGTTATAACCACAAGTGTCTAAAAGGAATTCTTATACAGTGAAATTCTTGCACAATGCAGCTTTTGAATCATAATTATGGAAACATGAAATTTTTTTGTAAAAGTAGGTAAAAAGTAAAAAGGCATTTGCCTTAGTACAGTCATTTGAATAAATGGGAAGCATCTGTAATCAACACAAAGAATCGCACATCAAAAAAGTTCATCACACAGACTATTCAATTGCAGTTTATCTAGATCACATTATTGCAAAATGTGTGTACATTGTAATTGGAAATGAGCTTTATATTACTGAACTGCCAAATTATTTTGAGTGTGATTAATTATATGAGTCTGCCTTTCCTAAATTGCACCATATGAATGAAAGAACAAGAACTGAATGAAATTGATAACTTTGTGGCAAAATAAGCAATTTCTCCTACAAAGATACGAAAAGAATAAATAAGTATGAGGGAAAGAATTAATTTTTCAAAGTCTATGTTAACCCATTCAGTACTTTACAATGTTGTTTTGATATTATGCAGATTTAAATAAAAGAGTAGTGAGTAAACAAATTGTACATTAATTTTTGACAAGTATTTATACATGTTTTTAATTAAGATTGTGTTACAACAGCTTCATAATGATCATTTTCAAATATGATATGATATAAATGGACCACTTCAGAAATTTGGATAAAATGAACAAACATAAACTTCAAGATATCTGGAGTTGGCAAAACAGTGTCAAAATATTCCAGAATAAGTGGACTCTTATTGTTATGATTTAAGTTTCAGGACAATGATATGGTAGTGTTTTTGCTGTTAACTGTCAACATGATTATCAACAACTGCTTTGATTATGAAATAGCAATGTTACTGACATAGTCAAAGTAACTTTTAGTTGAAACGAAACCATTTCAATGTCATCAATTTTGAGTTGGCAAATCATGGCCAAATCATTTTTGACAATGTTCAAAACATGGTCGACTTTGAGTTATGTTTACAGGGTTACAAGTTATAAGTATGTTTAGTACAAAAGATAAAAATAATTAGGAATTTCAGTGAAAAAATAGGGCATTTTTAGGAATTCCCTTCGAATTTTTCACTTTTTTAGGAATTTTAGGGATGCTGGACAGCCTGCATTAGCTTTGAACCACAGCATCAGCAGAAAGTTACAGCAATGCATGACCATCATCTGAATGGTCACCTGAAATAAAGTTGACATACTGATGCACTGCTTTTCATGGTGACCATGCAGATGGCTATGTGGAGCACAGCCTTGAGCATAGTAATGTGATGCTGATGCAGGCATACACATTCTCTTACCTGTAAAATACAAAAGGCCAAAAGCAGTACCAAAATTTAAATCTCTTTGAATTCCTCGGCAATATATTTTTTTTAAAAATATAGGAAAAATACTCAAAATATTGGAGAATATAGGAAAAATAGGAGGTTTTTTAAAATATAGGATTCCGACCCAAAATATAGGAGTTTTATAGGAATATAGGAATTGGTTGACAGCCTGTACTAAGATCAAGAAAAAAGCAAAATTTGGACATTTGACCTTGAAGGTCAAGGTCACTTGTGAGTGATTGTCAAGTTCAGTCTGGTCAACTTGAAGGCCTATCCTAAAAGATTATTAAGAGAATCCATTCATAAATAACAAAGTTATAGCCACAAATAGAAACAAGAGGGCCATGATGGCCCTGGATCGCTCCCCTGACCCATCAACCGCATCCAAGCGATGTCTTAGACAAGCATCCTGGCCAAGTTTGATGACAATTGAGTAAAAAATGTAACCTCTAGTGTGTTAAAAGGGTTTTCCATATTTGGGCAATGCGACCTAATTTTTGACTGGAGATGACCCATATTCGAACTTGACCTAGAAATCATCAAAACAACATTTCGGACAAATTTCCAGAATATTTGAATCAAAACTGGAGCCACTACAGTGTTATAAAGATTTTTCTATTTTTAGCTTCTGTGACCTAGTTTTTGACCGTAGATGACCCATCTTCGAACTTGACCTAGAAATCATCAAAACAACCTTCCTGACAAATTTCCAGAATATTTGGATCAAAACTGCAGCCAGTAGAGTGTTAACAAGCTTTATCTATTTTTAGCTCCTGTGACCTAGTTTTTGACCGGAGATGACCCATCTTCGAACTTGACCTAGAAATTATCAAAACAAACTTCTTGACAAATTTCTAGAATATTTGGATCAAAACTGTAGCCACTTGAGTGTTAACAAGCTTTTTCTATTTTTAGCTCCTGTGACCTAGTTTTTGACCGGAGATGACCCATCTTCTAACTTGACCTAGAAATCATCACAACAACCTTCCTGACAAATTTCCAAAATACTTGGATCAAAACTGCAGCCAGTAGAGTGTAAACAAGCTTTTTCTATTTTTAGCTCCTGTGACCTAGTTTTTGACCGGAGATGACCCATCTTCGAACTTGACCTAGAAATCATCAAAACAACCTTCCTGACAAATTTTCAGAATATTTGGATCAAAACTGCAGCCACTAGAGTGTTAACAAGCTTTTTCTATTTTTAGCTCCTGTGACCTAGTTTTTGACCGGAGATGACCCATCTTCGAACTTGACCTAGAAATCATTAAAACAACCTTCCTGACAAATTTCCAGAATATTTGGATCAAAACTGCAGCCACTAGAGTGTTAACAAGCTTTTTCTATTTTTAGCTCCTGTGACCTAGTTTTTGACCGGAGATGACCCATCTTCGAACTTGACCTAGAAATCATTAAAACAACCTTCCTGACAAATTTCCAGAATATTTGGATCAAAACTGCAGCCACTAGAGTGTTAACAAGCTTTTTCTTTTTTTAGCTCCTGTGACCTAGTTTTTGGCTTGAGAAACTCGATCTGTATTTCATTGAGACAAACATTCTGACAAAGTTTGACAATGATCCAATCAAAACTGTGACTGCTAGACTGTTAAAAACCCAATTGTTGACGACGAATGACGCACGACGCACAATGCACGATGACGGACATAGCCCCATCACTTTGTGGTCAGGTGAGCTAAAAATCAGCGAAAAACAAGCACAAATTAGACATTCAACCTTGAAGGTCAAGGTCAGTCTGGTGTACTAAAAGGTCTTGTCCCAAGGGTTGTTGTGGCCAAGTATGAAGGCAATTCATCATTTACTTAAAAAGTTATGATCGAGGTACAAGTTTGTGGACAGCAACCACAACGGCGACATGACTGTAACAATACCTCTTCTTTAAAAAACAAGAGCCCGGTTTGAGCCGGGTGATGCTCCCCGAATAGGTTTTGGACACAGGAAAGTACACCTCTTGTAGTTTCAGAGTTATGTCCGTGGAAAAAGTTCAAAGTGCAATAATTCCAAAATTAGGCAAGGCAGAGTAACAGTTCTTTGCACTGCACTTCTAATCAATGTGATCTATCAACCTACAAAGTTTCTTGATGATATCTCTCATGATTTCCGAGTTATGTCCTGGACAATTCAAAAAGTAAAAATAAACAAAGGGCAATAACTCCAGAATTAGGCAAGGTAGAGTTATGATTCTTGTGCACTGCACATCTACCCATTGAGATTTATCTACCTACAAAGTTTCATGTTGATATCTCTTATAGTTTTACAGCTATGTCCTGGACAAGATTTTTCTAAAAGGGGAGATTATTCAAAAATAAGGCTTAACAGAGTTATGGTTCTTTTGCACTGCACCTCTACTCAATGAGATCTATCTACCTACAATGTTTCATGTTGATATCTCTTATAGTTTTAGAGTTATGCCCCGGACAAGATTTTTCTATAAGGGGAGATAATTCAAAAACCAGGCAAAATAGAGTTATGGTTCTTTAACACTGCACTCCCCCTCCAAGCCCTCTACCACTGTATGAAGTTTAAACAAATTATCTCCAAGGGTTTTCAAGTTATGTTCCGGACAAAGTTCAAGTTCAAAGTATTAAAATAAACAAAGGGCAATAACTCCAAAAGTAGGACAAAAAGAGTTATTGTTCTTATGCACTGCACATCTACGCATTGAGATCTATTCACCTACAAAGTTTCATGTTGATATCTCTTATAGTTTTAGAGTTATGCCCCGGACAAATATTTTTCTATAAGGGGAGATAATTCAAAAACCGGGCAAAATAGAGTTATGGTTCTTTGACACTGCACTCCCCCTCGATGCCCTCTACCACTGTATGAAGTTTCAACAAATTATCTCCAAGGGTTTTCAAGTTATGCTCCGGACAAGACAACGGACGGACAGACGGACAAGGCGCCGACTATATGCTCCCCCGAAATTTTTCGGGGAGCATAAAAAAGTCGAGCTTTGTTTGTTTGTTTCATTTTACGCCTTTTCCCAACAGTATTTCAGTCATATAGGTGGGTTGTTTCCTAACCATCGTTCCTGGAGAGTTACACCAGTACTAGACTACCTTCCTCTGCGCTAAACTACCAAACCATCTCCCGGGGATCAAACCCACGCCAGAGAGGTAACTGGATTAGAAGTCATTGACTCTAACCCCTCAACCACGGAGGCGGTCAAAAGTCGAGCTTAAAGTTGTTAAAGGGCCATAACTCTGATGAAAATCATTGAACCGGAAAATGACGACATGCGCATCTAGACTTGGTACTGATCATTCCTGTAAAGTTTGGATGAAATTGCACCAGTAGTTTATGAAGAGTAGTATGGACAAGTTTTGTGACGGACGGATGGACAGATGACAGAGAAGTGATCCCTATATGTCGTCAATACTCAGTAGAGGTGACACAAAAACTAACCTGATATTGCACAGTTTCCTGCATGGCTCCTAAGTGAACAGGTATATGTGGGGCATTAGCAACCAGTCCACCATCTGGACCAAACATTGCACAAGAGAAGTCTAACCTTTCCTAAAATACATTATACACTCAGTATTATACAAATCATATAAAATAACATGTTGTTCATATATACAGCATTACTTTGAACTATTTATATATATATATATATATATATATAACGTAATGAAAACAAGCAAATTGGTTGAATTTATATCCCCCGCCGAGTACTGGTTATTATTAACACAACAACTGAAGACATAAGGCTTTATTTATATATTAATCATGGCATAAACAGTAATATTCTTTGAACTTGATAAATATTCAGGGCAATAACAGAGCCATAACTTTGTGTTAAATAGCAAAATCTGGAAATGCCAATGAGATGTATGCATACTACATAACTAATCAAGGGCCATAAATCTGAGTTAAAGTATCTGACTGGAACAAGGCGACTATATGCACATCTCCTCTTAGTATCCCATAAAGTTTCATTGAATTCCAGCCAGTAGTAGCAGAGAAGTAGCGAGGAAACAAATATTTTTCTATATGGATACTGCATAACTAATCAAGGGCCATAACTCTGAGTTAAAGTGTCTGACCAGAACAAGCTGACGATATGCGCATCTCCTCTTGGTATTGAAGGTTCCCATAAAGTTTCGTTGAATTCCAGCCAGTAAGTTGCAGAGAAGTAGTGCGGAAACGATTTTCTCTCTATATGCATACTACATAACTAATCAAGGGCCATAACTCTGAGTTAAAGGGTCTGACCGGAACAAGCCGATGATATGCGCATCTCCTCTTGATATTGATGATTCCCATGAAGTTTCGTTGAATTCCAGCCAGTAGTTGCAGAGAACTACTCCGGAAACGATTTTTACTCCATATGCATATTGCATAACTAATCAAAGGCCATAACTCTGAGTTAAAGTGTCTGACCCGAACAAGCCGACGATATGCGCATCTCCTCTTGGTATTGAAGGTTCCCATAAAGTTTTGTTGAATTTCAGCCAGTAGTTGCAGAGAAGTAGTGCGGAAACGATTTTTACTCTATATGCATACTACATAACTAATCAAGGGCCATAACTCTGAGTTAAAATGTCTGACCGGAACAAGCCGACGATATGCGCATCTCCTCTTGATATTGATGATACCCATAAAGTTTCGTTGAATTCCAGCCAGTAGTTGCAGAGAACTACTCCGGAAACGAAATTCGGACGGACAGATGGACGAAAGGATGGACGGACAGACAACGCTAAAACTATATCCCCCTCCCGATTCCATCGGCGGGGGATAACAAACTTTAAGCAATCAGTATTAAATTTTTTTTGATTTTTTAAATAATTTTTATTGTAACAAAGAGCACTTTTAATTAAAGCAAATCAAATAAAAAAAAATGCCTCATGAAGCCATCAACTTGCACAGATTTTCAAGAGAATAGCAATCGGTAGTTGGAAAGTTATAAATTGCACTACAATAACAAGAGCTGTCGGTAGGACAGCATGCTCGACTATTCTAAGTGTTTGATATTAAAAGAGCCTTGATAATGTAAGATTTTCTAAATTAACAAAAGGGCCAAATTTTTCTTTAAATCATGTTACGGCTATAGGTCTTCAGGAGAGTCCTATTATGCTCTCAAAGAAGTGCATAAAATTTCAACTTGTTTCAAAGCGAGATGTCAATGGAATTAGGAAAATATCTGAGGTGGTATGCAACTTGAACGTAAATTCTTAGTCAGTAATAAGCATTATTATACTCACCCTTGTGACAATTTTTGAATTGATTATCTCAAGCAATAATTGAGATATTTGACTTTACAAAAAACTTTAACCAAAATTTCTAAGTTAAAAAGGGGCATAATTCTGTCAATATTGTAGGCAGAGTTATCCAACTTGTCAATCTGATGTACATTGTTACTATAAATAAGTATTGCAAGTTTCAATTGAATATCTCATGCAATAATTGAGATATTTGACTTTACAAAAAACTTTAACCAAAATTTCTAAGTTAAAAAGGGGCATAATTCTGTCAATATTGTAGACAGAGTTATCCAACTTGTCAATCTGATGTACATTGTTACTATAAATAAGTATTGTAAGTTTCAATTGAATATCTCATGCAATAATTGAGATATTTGACTTTACAAAAAACTTTAACCAAAATTTCTAAGTTAAAAAGGGGCATAATTCTGTCAATATTGTAGACAGAGTTATCCAACTTGTCAATCTGATGTACATTGTTACTATAAATAAGTATTGCAAGTTTCAATTGAATATCTCATGCAATAATTGAGATATTTGACTTTACAAAAAACTTTAACCAAAATTTCTAAGTTAAAAAGGGGCATAATTCTGTCAATATTGTAGACAGAGTTATCCAACTTGTCAATCTGATGTACATTGTTACTATAAATAAGTATTGCAAGTTTCAATTGAATATCTCATGCAATAATTGAGATATTTGACTTTACAAAAAACTTTAACCAAAATTTCTAAGTTAAAAAGGGGCATTATTCTGTCAATATTGTAGACAGAGTTATCCAACTTGTCAATCTGATGTACATTGTTACTATAAATAAGTATTGTAAGTTTCTATTGAATATCTCAAGCATTAATTGAGATATTTGAATTTACAAAAAACTTTAACCAACGCAGACGCCGACGCGGACGCCGGGGCGACTACAATAGCTCTCATATTCTTCGAATAGTCGAGCTAAAAAATCACAGAAATAAAAATATGTAAGTACATGTAGTAAAAATCCCTATAAAAAAGAACTTACCTTGATATTTGTGGAAATGGAAGTTCTCTGTAGCACCCTGAAAATTAATTTTCAGCCATATAATAATTTCCTTTCAAATTTTGTTTCATTAATTTTACTCATTTTATCTTTATCTGAAACTAGAAATGTGTCCAACATTCCTCTGTTTTGTCAGTCTGCTGACATACAGCAGGATAGTATGACAGACACAGACAGGAACAGGAAATTCTACATGACTCTCCCTACACCTAATTGGTTGGGGCATAAAAATGACATGCATTTTTTCCCATGTTTACATCTTGATTTTTCACAATATTGAGCTGCAAGAATTTCCAATCCTCAAGTATGCTTAAAAGAAAATTAAAACATGCAAGACCACAGGTGCACAACTACACCATGCTGACCAACATTTCTGTAATGCTTCATGACTCTAGGTCAAATACTTCTTGAGTTATGCATGACACAAGTTGTAAATTGCGAAGGTTTAACCACGTCAAGGGCAATAACTCAGTAAGTTCTGAATAAATTCAACATCTAAGGAAAATATATACATTTATGTTAAGGTGGTTCATGACTCTAGGTCAAATACTTTTTAGGTTAAAAAAAAAAATGCCTGACACAAGTTGAAAATTGCAAAAAAACGAAATCAAGTGCAATAACTCTTAAAGATCCTGTAACAAAATTGAATTAAACGACATGTGAAACCCCAGATGCACAACTTCACATGCTGATCAATAAAAATCTAGAATGCTAGAATGTATTCATAACTGACAGGACTAATCTAGAATCCAATATGGAGATTATGAACAATTTTTTCAGGAAAAAAGGAATCATAAATACATACTTAAATATTTCATGGCAATAATAATTTCACAGAGCCTATTAAACATTTTATGAAGTGTGTATTCCTTTTTCTGAAAGTAACCAAAAAGAAAATTTGAGCTGTTTTTAGTGATACTGAATCTGAGCTGATATTTTCTTTCTGTCTTTTATTTCTTTTGGCTGCAAATCAAGAAGATTTTACAGTATTCTTGTTGGTTGCAATCACAAACAGGATTTGTTTGTTAAAACTTTAAAATAGAATCATCAAAAGAGCATTCATATAAAGTATTGATGATACTGGATCTAGTATTTTAGGAGGACATTTTGTTAAGTATGGATGAACATACTCTGGAAGGTGAGTTATCACTATACTAAGCTCACCTTGAGTATTTTGTGCTCTGGTGAGCAGAATAAACAGAGTTATATCATGTACAAAGTGTAAAAATGAACAAAGGGCCAAAATTAAAAAAATAGGCAAGGCAGAGTTATGGTTCTTTTGCACTGCACTTCTACACAATGAGATCTATCTATTTACAAAGTTTCATGTTGATATTTAGAGTGATGTCCCAGAAAAAGTTCTAAGTTTAAAAATGAACAAAGGGCAATAACTCCAAAAATAGGCAAGACAGTGTTATGGTTTCTTTTGCTCTGCACTTCTACTCAATGAGATATATCTACCTACAAAGTTTCATGTTGATATCTCTTATAGTTTAAGAGTTTTTTCCTGGACAAAGTTCAAAAAGTAACAAGAGGGCCATGATGGCCGTATATCGCTCACCTTAAGGAATAGATCTTAACTGGATTTTTCTTATTTAAAACAAGCAACATGTTTATAAAATACTTTAATGTTATTTAGTTAGTGTCAAATGTAAAGTATTTTTGAGCAAGAGGAATACAATCAAGTGTATAGAAATACCTCTTTTTTCTTTTCTTTAAAGTATAGGTTGCTAAAAAATACACTCCCTGTAGTGTGTTTACATCATGAAAATTTTAACAATGACATCATTATTAACAAGGCGAAGTACAAATTTGGATAATACTTCAATAAAAATGGGTCAAAGACAAAAATGGCCGGGTTGCATTTGTATACCAAATAACATGACTCATGAGGCTGTGATGTTACAAAAATGTACTACCATTGACCATTAATGTCGAACATTTAACTAAGTCGGTAAACAGGAAGTGGATAAGCGATAGACCTGAACTTGGGACCACATATTAATGCAGTCACATTACCAAATATCAAGAGGCTGTGTTATGTAGTTGCTGAGAAAACTGTTACGGAAATTTCCTTCCATTTACAATTAATGCCGAAAATTTAACTAAGTCATCAAACGGGAAGTGGATGAGCCACATACCTGAAATCATATCCCATTGTATGTGACTACATGTTGATGCTGTATACCAAATATCAAGAGGCTGTGATAAGTAGTTGCTGAGAAAATTGTTAGGAAAAATTCCTACCATTGACCATTATTATGAATTTAACTAAGTCAGTAAACATGAAGTGGATGAGTGACAGACCTGAAATCGAATCCCATGGTATGGGACAATGTGTTAATGCTGTATACTAAATATTATGAGGTTCTCTAGAGTAGTTGCTGAGAAAAATGTTACCAAAAATGGCCCAACCAATTCGCCTGCCTGCCCGGAATCAAGTCTCAATACATGATGGTAAACAGTATTTTTTTTGCATATGATTATGTAAAATTTTTCGAAAACCAGTATTATAGTTGTACCAGATATCCCATTAGTGTTTAAATATTAAAATAATTTTTGATAAAAGTGTTTACTCAGGGGTATCATGTTGGGGACAGGATCTAACCCCCAAGCATCTATGGTTTATCATATTAGGACATCCCTTTCTACAAAAACTTCTTCCTGTTCACATGAGTGGCTCTATACACAGGTTTAATCATACAATTAAATCATGTAAAATGTTATTAAAAAAACAAGAGGGCCATGATGGCCCTGAGGTCGCTCACCTGTATATAGCCCCCCCCCCCCCAAACGTTGCAGGGCCAATTTAACCCAAGGGCTTTTATTTGCACAAACTTGGTAGACACCCATAAGAAGATGTTTCATGCTAAACATCTAAGCTCTAGCTCATTGGGCTTTTTAAAAGAAGATTTTTTTAAAGTTTTTACTATACACATATAGTTAAAAACAATGACACCCCTGGGGCCAGGCCAGTTTTGACCCCAGGGCTTTTATTTGAACAAACTTTGTAGACACTTACTAGAAGATGTTTCATGCTTAATATCTAAACTCTAGCTATTTGGGTTTTTCCTAAGAAGATTTTAAGTTTTTGCTATACACATAAAGAAAATCAATGACCCCCGGGGCGGGGCCAATTTTGACCCCTGGTCTTTTATTTGAACAAACTTTGTAGACACTCACTAAAAGATGTTTCATGCTTGATATCTTAACTCTAGCTATTTGGGTTTTTTCAAAGAAGATTTTTTAAAGTTTTTGCTATACACATATAAGGAAAATCAATGACCCCCGGGGCGGTGCCAATTTTGACCCCAGGGCTTTTATTTGAACAAACTTGGTAGACACCTATTAGAACATGTTTGATGCTAAATATCTTAGCCATAGCTCTTTGAGTTCTTTAAAAGAAGATTTTTTAAGTTTTTACTATATGCATATAGGGAAAATCAATGACCCCCCGGGGTGGGGCCAATTTTGACCCCAGGGCTTTTATTTGAACAAACTTGGTAGACACCTATTAGAACATGTTTCATGCTCAATATCTTAGCCATAGCTCTTTGAGTTCTTTAAAAGAAGATTTTTTAAGTTTTTACTATATGCATATAGGGAAAATCAATGACCCCCCCGAGGCGGGGCCAATTTTGACCCAAGGGCTTTTATTTGAACAAACTTGGTAGACACTTATTAGAACATGTTTCATGCTAAATATCTTAGCTCTAACTCTTTTGGTTCTTTAAAAGAAGATTTTTTAAGTTTTTACTATATGCACATAGGGAAAATCAATGACCCCCTGGGGCGGGGCCAATTTTGACCCCAGGGCTTTTATTTGAACAAACTTGGTAGACACCTATTAGAACATGTTTGATGCTCAATATCTTAGCCATAGCTCTTTGAGTTCTTTAAAAGAATTTTATTTAAGTTTTTACTATATGCATATGGGGAAAATCAATGACCCCCCGGGGCTGGGCCAATTTTGACCCCAGGGCTTTTATTTGAACAAACTTGGTAGACACCCATTAGAACATATTTCATGCTAAATATCTTAGCTCTAGCTCTTTGGGTTCTTTAAAAGAAGACTTTTTAATTTTTTACTATATGCATATAGGGAAAATCAATGACCCCCTGGGGCGGGGCCAATTTTGACCCCAGGGCTTTTATTTGAACAAACTTGGTAGACACTCACTAGAAGATGTTTCATGCCAAATATCTAAGCTCTAGCTCTTATGTTTTTTTAAAAGAAGATATTTAAAGTTTTTTCTTTTGGTTGCCATGGCAACCAGAGTTCTGCATGGAATTAAATTCTTTGAACAATTTTTAAAGGTGACCACCAAAGGAACATTCCTGTGAAGTTTGGATGAAATTGGCTTAGCGGTTTATGAGGAGATGTCATTTAAAGTAAAAGTTTACGGACGGACGACGGACGGACGCCGGACGAAAAGCGATCACAAAAGCTCACCCTGTCACTTTGTGACAGGTGAGCTAAAAAACAAACAGCAGGGATCTCAGGAAGGTCAGAATTTCACGTGGCAGACTGTTTGGCCAAAAATTTTCACGAGTCAAATCAGTTTTTTCTTGTGTTATTTTTCTACACGAATCTTTTTCATGTTTTCAGAAATTACTGTTTGGGAAGTCATTTAGAGTAGATTTTCAAGTTTAAATTGATAACTATTGTAAGGTTAAGCAATTATAAGCTTCTTGCTTAGTTAACATGATAAAGAGTATTTCTAGCACCATGGATAATTACCATAATTATTGTTCCATTTTCACTTACATTTATTGAGGTGATAAACACATGTGTACATGCAGGGGTAAAAGTTACAGAAACTGAAAATACTGAAAGAAAAAGTTGGGGGTCAGGGGGCCGCTAGGGCCCCCGGTGGGTCCAGGGCAACGCCCTGGCTAGGGGTTCAGGGGGCTGGAGGCCCTTGGAAGCTTTTACAATTTAGTGAATTTAAAAGTTCAAAAAAAGGCTCAGATACATTCTCAAGTGCTTTATTTATCTTCAGATGTAATTAATCTGATATGTTAAAATTTACTCAAATTCACTGAGCAATACTATTTAAGCAATATATACACATTCCACATAACAAATTATGTTCATTCTTTTTACTATTTTCTATTTCATATCTTAAATTTAATCCTTTTCCATTGTCTTCCACTTGTTGATGCAGCACACTTTCAACTGACTTGACAATTTCTTCAGATGTGGAAACATTTTGAATTCTCAATCCTAAATGATCCATTACTACTTGACTAGTTTCATCATCAAAGTACTGAAAGATTATATTCAGTACTTTGTTATTGTTTTTTGTTAGTTGCCTCATCCATATTCAAAGATATTAACTTATCTTTCACTTTTGACTTCACTCCATCCTTAACAGATTTGGCTACACCATGTGTTGTTATGTACATTGCACTGGTTGGAGAAAGAGTAGTTTTTTCAAGAGCAGGCTTGTCTTCAGCTAAACGTTTGGCAAGATGTTAGAGATCGCCTGCTATGGAAAATGGCAGTCAATGTTCACTAAGAAAGGCAGTTGTGATTGCTCTTTGTTTGGCAATACGGTCTTGCATACTTTCAATCTTTTTGTCCACAGCTTTTGATGAGCCTGGCAGTACCTGAAAAAAACAATTTTCAAATAAAAGATGTATGAAACATATCAAATAAAATATCATACTCATAAATTGTCAATTTAGTTTGGAAACAAGGAGATAATCAAACTGATAAAGAAAATCGTGTTCTAATCCTTAAAATAATATCAAGCTGGGAAAAAATCTCCAGACCTATTAAAAATTTGGGCATAGGTTCCCCTGCACAAGGCCATTTTTTAATTCAACCCCCAACCCTTGCCCAGACCACATGAAAGTTGGGGGAAGACAGAAGAAAAAGAGGGTGGGGTAATGTGAATTGTTTATTAACTACACAATGCACAACTAAACCTCTTTTTGTTGCTTACTCGAGATAGTGGCTAAACTACACAGAGAAATGATCTTACTTGGTCTAAGATTCTTTTAGTGGTCCTCATCTTCAGCTAATCGTGATTAAGAAGCACCTTTTTTCTGTTCGATTTGTCTAGTTGATCGTTTTGGAACAGACTTCACAAAAGCCCATTGCATTTGGTTTCTTCAACCAAGCATCCCATTTTTCACCTTTAGAGTCCTTTTCCGCTAACCACTCCCACCTCCATTTGTTTTTTGCACCCTTTTTCAGATCGTTAGTATTAAAACCAGGCGGTTAACACTTCACCGTTGTCGTCATTGTATTTGTACATGTATTTTGACATCAAATGACTATGCAACAAACGATTTCATTGGCTGGTAAAAATAACGACGACCAATCAAATCTGATCTTGTATATTCTAGCTCAATTTTTCATTGGCAATCTCCGTATTGTAATTGTTTTGATTCGTATACAAACGGGTCTGAGATGGACAAATTTATTTTAAAATATATATCAAGCATTATCAAGCAATGTGCACACGCTAATTAATGAGGCATGCACACACACCCTTCCCGATTTCTCATCGGATTTACGTCATTCAGAAAAATGACCTCGGAGATCGCCGAAAACATGTATAATTTTAGAAATCATATCACGGGAGGTGATATTTACATAAATATTAAATGTCATCCCTTAATACTTCACAAATAGTTAACAAAATACCTGTTTCAACGAAGCACACCGATAATTGTATTCATCTTCACTTCTTTGTTTTGAAATACGAGTTTATGTTACAAAATTTCTCAATTTCCTTGTTCAAGGTCGCCATTTTTGTCCTAATTCCCGTTTAGTTTAGTTTATAGGTCAGATTGATACAGATGTTTTCTAAGACTCTGGGACTGATTGATATCTATTATTTAATGATTTGAATTGTATGTTTATAATCAGAATGAAATATTATGTCATAAATCGTTCAGCAGATTCAGTAAGACCGGTGTACACAATGTTGAAATATATGATTTTTCCCGCAAACCGGAAGGAAGAATTTAAGTTATATCCGCACTGTAAATTAAACTTTTATCTTAATAAGCTATTTTTTTGTGAAAAAAAAATACAACATTTTTTGTTCACTTTCGTTTTTTTGTGCAATATCTTACAAATCAAATGTGCAAGTCAATGTCAAGAACCAAAATACGTCATTGCATTTTATTTCGGAAATGACACAGTCTCCTTTCTGATGATGTTACGAAATTAAAGGAAGAATCCATTATTGTATGGGGAAATCAACTACACTGTATCTCTGAAATTGGGCTATTCTGATTGACTTTGTTTTGAATTAATATCTTACAAATCAAATGTGCAAGAACCAAAATACGTCATTGCATTTTATTTCGGAAATGACACAGTCTCCTTTCTGATGATGTTACGAAATTAAAGGAAGAATCCATTATTGTATGGGGAAATCAACTACACTGTATCTCTGAAATTGGGCTATTCTGATTGACTTTGTTTTGAATTAACATTCACATTCAACAACATTTTCATCTTTCTAATGCTTTAACAGAAAAAATCCTCAAAACAATGTCTGTTGAGACAAAAAATACAAGATACACTTTCAATTTATCCCTACAAAGACAGTTTATACAATCTTGCAATAAAAAAAACCTTTAACCCCCAAAACAGAGACCAATTTTCAACTGTAGACCATAATTTGATTATACTTTGTAGAAACCAACAAGCTCATGCCTTGTGAGAAATATCTAAGCTCTAGTCCTTTCCATTTTGAAGTATAAGAACTTTTAAGTTTTTTCTTTTAGTTGCCATAGCAACCAGAGTTTAGCATGGAATGGCATTCTTTGAACAATCTTGATAGAGCTTCATACAAAGAGTATTCCTGCCAAGTTTCATTAATATTGGCCAAGTGGTATTTTAGAAGATGTCGTTTAAATAAAATGTGGCCGGACGCCGGACACCGGACGCCATTTGATTGGCCATCCTAAAAGCTCACCTGCACTATGTGCAAGGTGAGCTAAAAATGAAAGTTTCATGTTGATACCTCCTGTTCTTTCAAAGTTATGCCCGGACAAGAATAGCGGATGGACGGACGGACAAAGGGGTGACTATATGCTCACCCTTCTGGAACATAATAAAAAACCCTTAATACACTACATACCTTCCCATTTGCTCTGCTATACTCATAAAACGATGTGAAAATATAGACAACTGTATCATGTCTAAAGATTTCCCCACTTTCTCTACCATTCCAGAACCTATCTGAAAACATATAGCTTACACTAATACATATTAATTACAAATGATTATTCCCAATTTAACAAATCAAATAATATATTTTATGAGGACTGCATTCTACAAGACATTGTATAAATTAAGAAGTGTAATAGCATAGTTGAGCAAGTGGGTTATGATGGCTCTTATATGATTCAACTGATTATTAAGGCTCTTCAAGAATGACAAGGAACCTTTTATTTCTAAGTTTGATTGAAATGCAGATACATGTTTAAGGTCTAACCTCACACCTTTTCACCCCCTCTTTTTTGAGGCCTAAAATGGTGAAAAAATGCCCTATTTTGACCCAAAACACTTGTTTTCATTTGAGAAATGTTGTTAATACAAGAAGACCAAGATGGTCCTCATGTATCACCTGAATAATTTTATTTGAAAAAACTTGATAGACACTCACTAGAAGATGTTTCCTTCTCAATATCGAAGCTCTAGCTATTTTTGTTTTTTAAAAGAAGATTTTTTAAGTTTTTACTATAGACATATAAGGGAAAATCAATGACCCCCACGAGGTGGAGCCAATTTTGACCCTAGGGCAATTATTTGAACAAACTTGGTAGACACTTACTAAAAGGTATTTCATGCCAAATATTTAACTCTAGCTGTTTTTGTTTTTTAAAAGAAGATTTTTAAGATTTTTCTTTCGGTTGTTATGGCAACCGGTCTCAGTTCTGCATGGCATTAAATTTTTTAAACAATTTTTAAAGGTGACCACCAAAGGAACATTCCTGTGAATAGTTTGGATGAAATTGCCTTAGTGGTTTATGAGGAGATGTTGTTTAAAGTAAAAGTTTATGGACAGACTAAAAAAGCAATCATAAAAGATATATTTACATAAGCTTTCTATACACCAAGTATCATTGAGATATCTCATTCTAAACTCATGTTATAGTGGCCTTGACCCTAAGGGCAAAAAAGCAATCCTAAGTAAGGTCTTTTCATATGCTTGCTATACACAAAGTTTATTTAAAATATCTTATTCCCTTGAGAATTAAAGTTGTGCACATAACTGTTCACAATATATGCCATATAATGAAAACAAAAAGCCACAATTACCGGTAAGTCAAAAATAATCAAATCATAAAACCAAAAATGGGTCAAAGACAGAAAAGGCCGGGTTGCATTTGCATACCAAATATCATGAGGCTATGATGTTACAAAAAATGTTTACTATTGACCATTACTGTTGAAAATTTAACTTATTTGGTAAACAGGAAGTGGATGAGCAACAGACCTGAAATTGAATCCCACAGTATGGGACCAAGTGTTATTGCTGGATGCCAAATATCAAGAGGCTGTGATAAGTAATTGCTGAGAAAACTGTTACTAAAAATTCCTATCATTAACAATTAATGTCCAAAATTTAACTAAGTCGGTAAACGGAAGTGTATAAGTGACAGATCTGAAATCAAATCCCACAGTATGGGACCATGTGTTAATGCTGTTTGCCAAAGAGGCTGTGATAAGTAGTTGCTGAGAAAACTGTTACGAAATATTCCTATCATTAACAATTAATGTCCAAAATTTAACTTAGTAGGTAAACAGGAAGTGGATGAGCGACAGATCTGAAATTGAATCCCACAGTATGGGACCATGACTTGTGTTAATGCTGTATGCCAAATATCAAGAGGCTGTGATAAGTAGTTGCTGAGAAAACTGTTACGAAAATTTCCTACCATTCTCCATTAATGTCCAAAATTTAACTAAGTCGGTAAACAGGAAGTGGATGAGCGACAGACCTGAAATCAAATCCAACAGTATGGGACCATGTGTCAATGCTGTATGGCAAATATCAAGAGGCTGTGATAAGTAGTTGCTGAGAAAACTGTTACGAACATTTTTCCCCGCTCACCCGCCAACCGCCCGCCCGCCGCCCATCATTCACCATACTATAACCCGGGTTTGCACATGTGCAACCCGGCCAAAAATCATGAAAGTTTGGTAAAAATTCCTTATGAAATGTAGGAGGAGTTGCGCACAGAAGGAATTGTTCACTATTATATTCTATATTAAGAAAAAAACCAAAAGGACCATAATTAGGTAAAACATTATCGAATCTCAAAACCCTGGGCACTTATGACAAAGCTTTTGTGAAAGTTTTATCAAAATTCCTTAAGAAAAGGGAATATCACTATCAGAGACACGCCGATCACTAGCAATACACATTCATACTAGCAACAAACAAAATAGTTATTGATTTTATATGCAATTTCAGAAAAAATAAATAAATGCAATACCTAAAATATGTTTTCACAAAGATGATATATTTTGCAATAAGAATTTACTTTCTATACATTATTAACCCTTTCCCTCATATAAGCGTGTTTCGACGGCTTTTTGCCCCCCACCCCCTTTTTGAGGCATCAAACAGTGAAAAAATGCCCTATTTAGGCCCCAAACACTGGTTTTCGTTTGAGAAATGTTGTTAAAAAAAATGACCACTTTTTCGGCGCCGTCCCCCATCCAAGAAAATTTTGGACATGTGACAGGCTAAAAATGGCCTCAGGTCAATCTTAGGGTAACTAGTAACTGACACTGAAAAGCCCTTTACTCTATCTAAATTCATGGAGAAGTTGCAGCACTTTGAAATCAGTTTTGATGGAAAAAAACAATGCAAAATAGTGATTTTTGGCATTTTGAGACGTCCCCCCGTTGCCATGGTAACAGGAAATTTACGATTGAGCATGCTGTTACAGAGGCTATGGTGTAGTCAACATCTGTGCCAAGTTTCATCAGTATTGAAGCATTTTTCATAGCTTCATAGCAGTTTGAACTTGTTACAGGAGGCTTTTCAATGAAAATGGCCATTTTTCGCAATATGCTCATGGGGTAAAAGGTTAACTACATTTCAATAAAATAACATTATTTACACACAGATATGACTGGAAGTCGTATTTGACCCAATTTTTCCTAAAAGTGAAAGGCATACAGAAATATCACAGCTTCAGATTTTTCTGCTGCAGACAAGACGGCTGTGTTTGTAAAGGAAAGAATAGAGAGCGAGGAGATTCCGGATCGCTGATTAGATGTTTATACTGAAGTTCCAACACCAACCTTTTCTTTCCCAAGGTTATACAGCCCGCAGGATTAAGTCTTACATGGCATGAATATTTATACTGTAATGTTAGAAAATATGTAAGACCTGCATACCAAGATGCCATGTACGGCATATACTGAAGAGTGATTCACTCTGCATGTGTACAGACTGTTCTAATTTTGTTATTATTTTCAAGTTCCATTGTTAACATTTTTTTTTTATAATTAATGTTTTACTATTAAGTTTCTTAGGATATGACAGCAGGTTCAAGTTTTTAAATGATAAAATGCAATGGTTGTACATGTATTATTCAAGAATAAGATAATTGTACTTTTATATACAAATGTAAATTAGTTTTGATTTACCTATCTTAACTTTATATATTTAAGAATCATTGTAGTTAGTGCAAAATTAAAGCTTTCGAAACACTTGACTTCATTTGTTATCTGCTAGACTACATTTGATGTTGTCAGATTATGATGTTACGTAAATCTATCGTTGACGTTGCATTAATGTCCTCTTTTAAACCTCTATATCTCAAAAAGTATTTGCAATATCGATGTGAAATAAAGAGCACAATAATGCATGTACTTAACTATTAGCTATAAAACTAAAAATTAATAGACAAGAGCTGTCACAGCAGACAGCGAAGCTGACAACTAATGAAATACTGGATGCAGTAAGAAAGACAAAACTATGAAAGAAAAATCAATTATGTATAATTAAGTATTAAGTTATAGTAAAAAAAACATTGTTAACATAAATTCCAAGATCAAGGGGAATAATTCTGAAAAAAGTCATGCTAGAGTTATGAACCTTGTCAAACAACATGTCTGTAATGATAAGAAATATATATTTGAAGTTTGAAGTAGATACCTTAAAAAGTAAAGAAGTTATAATATTTCTTAAAGAAAATCCTAAGTTCAAAGAGAGATAAATCTAAAAATATTGCTTCAAGAGTTATGAACCTTATCACATAAAATGTAATTGGTGATAAGGAATAAGTATTTGAAGTTTGAGGTAGATACCTTTAAAATTAAAAAAGTTATAGTAAAAAATAACATTTTTTAAGTAAAAAAATCTAAGTTTATGAGGATATAATTCTTGCAATATTGGAGCTACAGTTATGAACCTTAACACATAACATGTGGTTAATGATAAGGTACATTTATTATATACTTAGAAATGAAATATTAAAAAATATTGATGAAATAAAATGCGTATTTTCATTTTCCGTATTTTCACTGTAAAAATTTATTTTTCACTGTAGTGAAACATATTTTTTCATCTTGTGGCATGAAAATTACCATATTTCACTCGTGGCTACCGCCACTCGTGAAATATTTATTTTCATACCACTCGATGAAAATAAATCATGTATTTATAACATGTGGTTAATGATAAGGTACATATATTTGAAGTATGAAGTATATCCCTTAGGAAATAAAGAAGTCACAGTAAAAAATAGTATTTTTTAAGGAAAATTTTAATTTCAAGGGGAGATAAATCTGAAAATATTGGTGCTAGAGTTATGAACCTTGTCACATAAGATGTGGTTGATGATAAGGTACATATATATCTGAAGTATGAAGTTTATCCCTCAAGAAATAAAGAAGTAACAGTAAAAAATAGTATTTTTTAAGGAAAATTTTAATTTCAAGGGGAGATAAATCTGAAATTATTAGTGCTAGTGTTATGAACCTTGTCACATAAGATGTGGTTGATGATAAGGAACATATATTTGAAGTTTGAAGTTGATACCTTAAGAAATGACAAAGTTATAGTGAAAAGTATTTAACTGCACCAAAACTTTAATCTGAAATCTGGACGTGGACGCCGGGGCAAGTAGGACAGCTCTCCATATACTTCATATAGTCGAGCTAAAAATGCCCCAGTGCCCTTTTCTCGTGGCGGCAGTCATATTGTAAACTATAAACGAAAGCAGAAATAAAATCTAAATCAGAAACTGATATCACAAAGTTCATACTTGCATCTGAAATAGTGCATGTGCAAAACATTACTGGTTCTTACTGCTAAGGGGAAAACAATAGTTACTAAAGGAGGTACTGATTGCTATACAGTGGTTTCCTTGGAAGTCAGTGAATGCTATGAAAATCAATGGTAGATTCACTCATTGCTATGGAAAGTTAATGTTTGCTATGTAAGTCACTGATTGATAATTCTAACACGACCCAAATTTTTCCCTATTGAACATAGAAGAACCGAAAGTGTGTGTTATTATGCAATAAAATCACTGTTTGACGTTCTATATTTAGACATGTGACGTAATCATTATACACGTGACGTAACCACTAAAAATGTGACGCGCTGACAATAAGTACGGAAACAAATCAGATGCAATTTAGCTAATTATCATGTACAGCAGTATTTCTTTGTTGATGTCGTGTTAGAATCGAAATAATAACTCCAAATCGATGATTTTATTGCTTGATAACATCACTGTTTGTCGTTCGGATGCGCATCATTATATCACTCGGGCTAAGCCCTCGTGATATAATTCCCCGCATCCGAACTCCAAACAGTGATGTTATTGAGCAATAAAATCACAGTTTGGGGTATATTATTTCTTAAGTAACAAATCAATGTTTACTATGGAAGTCACTGGTGCAATGGAAATTTAGAGTTTGCCATGAAAAGTCAATGGCTGCTATGAAGTCACTGGCGGCTATGAAGTCAATGGTTGCTATTGGAGTCACTGGTTTCTATCAAAAGTAAATGGTTATCATGTAAAGTAAATGTTTGCTATGAAGTCCATTGTTGTTATGAGAATCACTAATTGCTATTTGAAGTCCTTATTTGCTATGAAGTCACTGGTTGCTATGGAAAGTAAATGGTTGCTATGAAAAGTCAACGGTTCTTATGGAAAGTTAATGGTTCCTATGAAAAGTCAATGGTTCCTGTGAGAGTCACTAATTGCTATTTGTAGTAATTTCTTATGGAAGTCTGCAGTGGCATAATTAATATTCAAAATACTATAACTCCCGTATGGGATGGAAATAAACTTTGTTTCTAAGGATACTGTAAAAGGGGTCAGTGAAATAAGAAGCAACTACTTTGCGTTGTGTCTAAAATAATAATGTTTATTAACGGTAAAATAACAATACAACGGAAATGATGTCGTATAAACTCTTCTTCCCGCTAATGTAACGTTGTCTTTACGACAGATACATAGCTACAAAAGTATTGGAGGAAGGATAGCATTTACAGATAGGCCTGTGGACAATATAACTCTGTTTACCCTTTTCAAACTTTGTTTGCAGGAATATAAATACATGTATAATGTTTAGTTTTGAAGTTTAAATATCTTGTTAAATATTAATATATACAAATTTTGTATGTAAAGACCCTCTGTGTATAGTGACTTTATTTAATTGCAATGCAGTTCTTTGTCAACTAAGTAATAGAAAGAGCACCGAAACACGAGGCTATCTGATTTGTACGAGGGGGGCGTAGCCCCCGAGTATTAATCAGATTGCCGAGTGTTTTGGTGTTCTTTCTCTTTTGTATCATAGTCAAACATAAAAGCACGTTCCCTGTTGTCACAATATGAAACCCCGGCAAAAATGAACCAATGAACGAACATCTGAATATGACATTTCTTTCGCTTTCCCTTTCTCTGCCGTCACAATATGTAAACCCCAGCAAAAATGAGCCAATCAATGGGGATGCTCTGGAGTGCGGGTAACTAATACCCGCACTCCAGTTAACGCACTGTGCATGTATATGTATACGATTTAACCCTGACATATTTTCAACAGAAAGGTCTCCAAACTATGATACAAACATTTCATACTTACAGTTATCTTAACATCACCTGATTTGGTAATCAAAGCTTGACAGGTTGGTTCCACCAATACTGTGCTGTTGAAATATATAAACATTTTGGCATTATATACTAGAAAAAGAACAAGTTATTTAAAATACCCATAACTAATACAGACTACAATTAGTGTGATCATATAGTGAAATTATTGTGTATAGTAATGTGTTTACTTTATACTTTACCCTATCTTGACTGAGAAAAACATTTATAGGCCAGTCATAATAGAAATTATGGTAAAACTAATTCCTTCACAAATGTTTTCACAATTAAATAAAAGATAAACATTATCTACATTTTGAGAAAAAAGTCCTCAAAAAATCTCCTTGCAGAATCCTGAAAAATCGATCATAAAGATTTAGTAAAAATCGATATTAAAAGGTGTTTCTTAAATTACACCATACTTTAATTTTATGCACGTTCGGAGACGTCACGTTTATTATATTTTCGTTGAAAGATCTGAAGTTCCTTCAATTCCAGCATTCCTAGTGCAAAGGTGAGTAATTTTAGTCATTTTATATTCTTCTGTATAAAATTTAGTAAAAAATATGTCAGTAGACCACCAATCAATCTATTATGCAGATGACAAAATGTGTCATATAACTTCGAGATTTTATACACAATTTTGAATGAATAATCATGAAAAGAGAGTGTATCTTTTACTCACTGTTCTACATTGTTTTCTTTTGTACAATTATCTAATATGACACAGAATTAACCACACATCTTAAACCCCAGTCACACTAGAGCTTACGATTACTTGCGACCACATGCGACTTGTAAAACTGACGATCATCAGCAATTGTCTGCGACCAAAACCATTTTTGCAAAGATAAATTTACTTTTGCGAGTATCGTAAGACAAGTCATCATTGACAATCGCACGACAGGTCATAAGTAAACGTACGATGGTCTCAATATTGCCTGGGATTACTTACGACTACCCGTGACATAACATGTGATCACCTACAACTTGTCGTACGACCATCACACGATTACTAAAGACTACTTAAGATTATCAGTGACTAGTGGCAATTTGTAAAGACTGTCGTAAGATTGTCGCACTTCCGAACGACCATCGTGCGACAGCTTTAAGACCTTATAAGATCATTTGCGACCTGTTTGATCGCAAGGAGGTTTTTGTGCAAGCTCAAAAACCTCTCTACGACTGAAATTGGTCGTGGGACCTAAATAAGATAACCTGCGACTGTCAAAGATCATCGATGACCGTCGTATGACGTTTTAAAGATTGTTCGCGACCAGAGGTCACTGGTGATCATAAACTGGTCTTCACTGGTTGTAAGCTCTAATGTGACTGGGGCTTTACTGAGTAAGTAAAAAAATGTGTATGCACAAGTTATGTAAATTTTTATTCTCTAAGGAAGCGTGTTGTGACCAAAATCACGAAAATCTAGGGATATTTTTAAAATGTTAAATTTGACTTATTTCAAAGAGTTGGCATGTTTTATGAATTGTGGAAATCATACTTAAATCAAATGATATGTTAATTTGATGTAAACAAACGTATTTTGTAATACATAATGCATTTCTAAGCGAAATGATAATATATTCCAGCATATTATATGAAAAATAGACAGCGTATCCAATAGGGTGTAATCAAGCTAAAACTATTACCTATTAATGAGGAAGTTGTTACTGGAACTTTATACATTACTTTTACTTCTTAACAGAAGACATGGATTTAAAACCCAAATTATTATGCCAATTATTTGATTCTTTTTGTAGGTTCAATCATATCATATGAATCAGAGAGTATGGGGTTATAGCAAATCAAAAGATTATTGAGCGTATTCACTTGAAGTATTGTAAAAGAATTTTAAATGTTAGAGCCAATACAAGCAATGTTCGTATATACGGCGAACTCGGCCATTACCCATTGTATATAAATTGACACGTAAGAATAATTAAGTTTTGGTACAAATTGATAAATACTGACAATATAATTTTACGGAAAACATATGAATTAAGTTTATCTGATTGTTATAAAGATAGAAAACTGGGTATCAAATGTTAAAGAAATGCTAAATATATATATATATGCTTTATCCGAATACTTTTTTGAAAATAATATCGTAGATAGTAAATTTAATTTCCAAAAATATTTAAACAAAGAGTTTTCGATAATTATATACAGATACGGCATTCATCTATAGAAAATAATTCTGTTAGAACTTTGTAAAAATTATAAAGAATTATATTCATACGAAAACTATCTTAACAAAACTATCTTAACATATTAGAATCTTAGATTTTACATAACAAGAATTAGAATGTCTGCACATACACTAAGAGTACAAACGGGTAGATATGGTCAAAATAGAATCCAAAGGAGTGAAAGATATTGTTTATGTTCTAATACTATGGATTTAGAAGACGAATACCATTTTGTTTTGATATGCCCATGTTATGTTGACATAAGGAAAAAAATATGTGAAACGATATTATTACAAATGTCCATCAATGTGTAAACAAGCAAATTTGTTGAATTTATATCCCCCGCCGAGTACTGGTTATTATTAACACAACAACTGAAGACATAAGGCTTTATTTATATATTAATCATGGCATAAACAGTAATTTTCTTTGAACTTGATAAATTTTCAGCCATAACTTTGTGTTTAAGATAGTAAAATCTGGAATGGCCAATGAGATGTATGCATACTACATAACTAATCAAGGGCCATAAATCTGAGTTATAAGTATCTGACCGGAACAAGGCGACTATTATTATAATGCACATCTCCTCTTAGTATCCCATATTAAGTTTCATTGAATTCCAGCCAGTAGTAGCACAGAAGTAGCGAGGAAACAAATATTTTTCTATATGGATACTGCATAACTAATCAAGGGCCATAACTCTGAGTTAAAGTGTCTGACCGGAACAAGCCGACGAAATGCGCATCTCCTCTTGGTATTGAAGGTTCCCATAAAGTTTCGTTGAATTCCAGCCAGTATTTGCAGAGAAGTAGCAAGGAAACGATTTTTACTCCATATGCATACTGCATAACTAATCAAGGGCCATAACTCTGAGTTTAAGTGTCTGACCGGAACAAGCCCATGATATGCACATCTCCTCTTGGTATTGAAGGTTCCCATGAAGTTTCGTTGAATTCCAGCAAGTAGTTGCAGAGAAGTAGTGCGGAAACGATCTTTACTCTATATTCATACTACATAACTAATCAAGGGCCATAACTCTGAGTTAAAGTGTCTGACCGGAACAAGCCGACAATATGCGCATCTCCTCTTGATATTGATGATTCCCATAAAGTTTCGTTGAATTCCAGCCATTAGTTGCAGAGAACTACTCCAGAAACGATTTTTACTCCATATGCATATTGCATAACTAATCAAGGGCCATAACTCTGAGTTAAAGGGTCGGACCGGAACAAGCCGATGATATGCGCATCTCCTCTTGGTATTGAAGGTTCCAATAAAGTTTCGTTGAATTCCAGCAAGTAGTTGCAGAGAAGTAGTGCGGAAACGATATTTAAATATTAAAATTGCAGTTTCAAACGCATTCCCGTTTTCTTTTTATAAACTATACTGCCAATAACATGAACAAACATGTAAAAACCCTTCTAATCCGGAAACCTTTCTAATCCGAACTTTTCTTCTGGTCCGGACGAGTTCGGATTAGACAGGTTCCACTGTATTTACTTAAAGATGTTTCATGTATAATATCTAAACTCAAGCTATTTGGGTTTTTTCAAAGAAGATTTTTAAGTTTTTGCTATACACATATAAGGAAAATCAATGACCCCCGGGGCGGGGCCAGTTTTGACCCCAGGGCTTTTATTTGAACATACTTGGTAGACACCCATTAGAACATGTTTCATGCTAAATATCTTAGCTCTAGCTCTTTGAGTTCTTTAAAAGAAGATTTTTTAAGTTTTTACTATATGCATATAGGGAAAATCAATGACCCCCTGGGGCGGGGCCAATTTTGACCCCAGGGCTTTTATTTGAACAAACTTGGTAGACACTCATTAGAAGATGTTTCATGCTAAATATCTTAGCTCTAGCTCTTTGGGTTCTTTAAAAGAAGATTTTTTAAGTTTTTACTATATGCATATAGGGAAAATCTATGACCCCCTGGGACGGGGCCAATTTTGACCCCAGGGCTTTTATTTGAACAAACTTGGTAGACATTCACGAGAAGATGTTTCATGCCAAATATCTAAGCTCTAGCTCTTACGGTTCTTTAAAAGAAGATTTTTTTAAGTTTTTACTATATGCATATAGGGAAAATCAATGACCCCCCGGGGCGGGGCCAATTTTGACCCCAGGGCTTTTATTTGAACAAACTTGGTAGACACTCACTAGAAGATATTTCATGTCAAATATCTTAGCTCTAGCTCTTTGGGTTCTTTAAAAGAAGATTTTTTAAGTTTTTACTATATGCATATAGGGAAAATCTATGACCCCCTGGGGCAGGGCCAATTTTGACCTCAGGGCTTTTATTTGAACAAACTTGGTAGACACTCATTAGAAGATGTTTCATGCTAAATATCTTAGCTCTAGCTCTTTGGGTTCTTTAAAAGAAGATTTTTTAAGTTTTTACTATATGCATATTGGGAAAATCAATGACCCCCTGGGGCGGGGCCAATTTTGACCCCAGGGCTTTTATTTGAACAAACTTGGTAGACATTCACTAGAAGATGTTTCATGCCAAATATCTAAGCTCTAGCTTTTACAGTTCTTAAAAAGAAGATTTTTTAAGTTTTTACTATATGCATATAGGGAAAATCAATGACCCCCCCAGCCGGGGCCAATTTTGACCCCAGGGCTTTTATTTGAACAAACTTGGTAGACATTCACTAGAAGATGTTTCATGCCAAATATCTTAGCTCTAGCTCTTTGGGTTCTTTAAAAGAAGATTTTTTAAGTTTTTACTATATGCATATTGGGAAAATCAATGACCCCCTGGGGCGGGGCCAATTTTGACCCTAGGGCTATTATTTGAACAAACTTGGTAGACACTCATTAGAAGATGTTTCATGCCAAATATCTAAGCTCTAGCT